ATGCACCTTTTGACGACTTTAATGGTAACCAACAGTGTGGTATGTATGTCCCAATTCTCAAACTTAAATGGTATGTATGTCTCAATTCTCAAACTTAAATGGTACACGAGGTATTTTAGTCTAGGTAATCACATATAACATATAAATATTAGGGTATTTATATAATAAATTATTTTAGGGTTGAGCTCGAGCCGAACTTTCGATCTTAATGATTTGTTAAAATTTAATAAATGAGCTGGCTCGTATTTGACTCGACTCATTTACATACGAGCCGAACATGAACTAGACAAAGCTACGTAGCTCAACCACTTGATTAGACCACTCGATTGACAATAAAATTGTTAAAAACGCTCTGCTACGGATCGGGTTTACGTGTGTCTGTGTTTTTCGATTCTCGCTTTCTTATTCTTGCTTTGTCGATTCCGGCGATTTCCCGATTCGTAGCAGCGCGTTTTTAACAAGTGGTATCAGAGCCGCGGTTGGAAATCAGGCTAGGGTTTTCGATTCAGAAGAATGACGTCGGTGAACATGAAGATCGAAAAGTTCACGGGGAAGAACAGCTTCGCTATATGGCAGATCAAGATGCAGGCTTTATTGAAACAGCAAGGGCTGTGAGGGCCGCTGTCTGCGAAATAGAAGAAGGCAGCAGTCGATGACGATGAGTGGAATACCCTGGAGGAGAAGGCTCACTCGACCATCATGCTATCGTTGTCTGATGACGTCATCATTGAAGTCGCTGCTGAGAAGACTGCCGCGGGCTTGTGGTTGAAACTAGAGAGTCTGTACATGACTAAGTCTCTAACCAACAAGCTGCATCTCAAGCAACGGTTGTTCAGCTTGAGGATGCAAGAAGGTACGCCTTTGAGGGAACATCTCGAACAGCTTAACTCTATTTTGCTGGATCTGCGTAATATAGATGTTCAAGTTGATGACGAGGATGCTGCCCTAATCCTGCTGGTTTCTTTGCCGAGTTCATATGAGAATTTCGTTGATTCTTTTATTGCTGGTAAAGAAAGCGTGTCGTTGGAGGATGTCAGGTCTGCTCTTCATACGAGAAAGATCAGGCATAAGGCGTCTGGATCTGGTACAGGTGGTGAGGCATCGGGTTTGGCTGTTACAGGTGGAAAGGGAAAGAAGAAATCTGGTAAAGGGAATTCGAGCAAGAATTCCAAGGGTCCCGGTCCACAGCCAGGTGATGTTTGTCACAACTGTAAGGAAGTGGGGCATTGGAAGTACCACTGTCCCAAGAGAAGAGGGCAACAGAAGAAACAAGGTTCAGTTGCCGTGGCAGAAGTGGACAACAGTTCTGAAGACGATCTCGCCTTGGCTTTAGATGAGAAGGCACATCGTGGTGATGTGTGGTTTCTGGATACTGCAGCCTCATACCATATGTCTCCGAACAGGGATTGCTTCACAACCTACGAGCAGATAGATGGTGATAACGTGGTCATGGCTAATGGAGCTGTCTGCAATGTTGTTGGAATCGGGTCCATAAAGGTTCGGACACATGATGGTTCGTTCTGTACCATGAATGATGTCAGGCATGTTCCACGAATGACGAAGAACCTGATCTCCTTGAGTCTACTCGACAGCAAGGGTTTCAGCTTCAAAGGAAAAGGTGGAGTTGTGTATGTCTGCAAGGGTTCGAGGAAGGTACTGAAGGGCGTGAAGCGTGGGACCTTGTATGCATTACAAGGGTCTGTGTTGTCTGGTTCTGCTGCAGTTGCATCGTCTCAGGTTCAACAGGAAGATATGACCACTCTCTTGCACATGAGACTGGGGCATATGAGTGAACGGGGGATGCAAGTTCTATCGAAGAGGGATCTTCTTTGCGGGCACAAGGTGCAGAATTTGGAATTCTGCGAGCATTGTGTGTTTGGGAAGCTACATCGCAGCAAGTTTCCCAATAAGGGTATCCACCGGACGAAGGGGATACTGGATTACCTCCACTCCGACTGTTGGGGTCCTTCACGAGTTGAATCCATTGGAGGCAGCAGGTATTTTCTGTCTATTATTGATGATTATTCGAGATTTACTTGGATTTTCATGATGAAGCAGAAAAGTGAGGCTTTCACGAAGTTCAAGCAGTGGAAGACATTGGTGGAGAATCAGACCGGTAAGAAGATCAAGAAGCTGCGAACGGACAATGGTCTGGAGTTCTGCAATTCTGAGTTCAACGAATTCTGCAAGGATGAAGGGATTGCCCGTCATCGGACCGTGAGAGATACACCCCAGCAGAATGGCGTTGCAGAAAGGATGAACCAGACATTGTTGGAGAGAGCTCGGTGCATGCTCTCTAATGCTGGACTAGAGAGAAGATTCTGGGCAGAAGCAGTAAACATGGCGTGCTTCCTGATCAACCGTGGACCACACACAGGTATCGAGTTGAAGACTCCTTATGAGGTGTGGTATGGTAAGCCTGCTGATTACTCTTCACTGAAGGTTTTTGGGTGTCCTGTTTATTATCACGTGGATGAGGGTAAACTGAACCCAAGGGCAAAGAAGGGTGTATTTGTGGGTTACGGAGATGGAGTTAAGGGATTTCGAGTCTGGTCACCTTCTGAGCATCGAGTTATACTCAGTAGAAATGTGATATTTGATGAGAAGTCTATGTTTAACCCCATGTTGAAGGTTACTATTGTTGAAGGTAGCAGGAATGTTGATAAACAGGTGGAGCTGCAAACTCTCAAAGAGAGTGAGTTTGATCACCAAGGTGGAGAAGATCAACATGATGAGGATGTCTCTGCATATCCAGAAACTTCATAGTCCAGTGCACGAGCTAAACAGTCTATTGCTTCCGGTAGACCGAAGAGAGCGACTGCAGGAGTACCTCCACAGAGGTATGGCTTCGAGGACATGGTGGCTTATTCATTTCAGGTTGCTGAAGAAGTGGATGCAGGTGAGCCACAGTCCTATAGAGAAGCCGTTTCGGGTGGCGAAGCTGATCAGTGGCTTGCCGCAATAGGAGATGAGATGGAATCCCATGACAGGAATCAGACTTGGGAGCTAGTCAAACGACCACAGGGAAGGAAGATTGTTACAAATAAGTGGATCTACAAGAAGAAGGAAGGAATCACTTCTAAAAAGGGCATGAAATTTAAAGCTCGGGTGGTTGCACGAGGCTTCTCGCAGAGGGAAGGAGTTGACTACAATGAGATTTTCTCACCAGTGGTCAGACATACTTCGATCAGAGTGCTACTAGCAATAGTGGCACATTATGACTTGGAGCTCGAGCAGCTAGACGTGAAGACAGCTTTCCTACATGGAGAGTTGGAAGAAGAAATTTACATGACTCAGCCAGAAGGATTCGAGGTTCCGGGAAAAGAAGACTATGTTTGTAAGCTGAAGAAGTCCTTGTATGGACTTAAGCAGTCTCCGAGGCAGTGGTACAAGAGATTTGAACTGTTACATGCTTGAGTTGGGCTACAACAGAAGTCCATATGATTGTTGTGTATATCACAGCAAGGTAGAGGATGGTTCGATGATATATCTAGTTCTGTATGTGGATGATATGCTCATAGCTGCGAGGTCGAAGTCTAATATTCAGAAGTTAAAGGGGCTTCTCAGTGCTGAGTTTGAGATGAAGGATTTGGGAGCTGCTCAGAAGATCTTGGGTATGGAGATTTACAGGGACAGGTCGAAAAAGAAGCTTTTCTTGTCACAGAAGAGCTACATCCAGAAGATATTGTCGAGGTTTGGCATGTCTTCAGCAAAGCCCTTAAATACTCCTAGTGCTTCAAATGTTCATCTATCCTCAGCTTATGCACCGCAGTCAGAGGCTGAGAAGGAGTACATGTCGAGAGTCCCATATGCTAGTGCAGTAGGTAGCTTGATGTACGCTATGGTATGCACTAGACCTGATCTTGCACATGCTGTTAGTGTTGTCAGCAGGTTCATGATACAACCTGGAAAGGAGCATTGACAGGCTGTGAAGAGGATCTTCCGGTACCTTAAGGGTACACCTGATGTGGGGATTAGCTTCGAAAGTGATACAGAGTGCTTTTTGTCTGGGTATTCTGACTCGGACTATGCTGGAGATGTTGACACGAGAAGATCGATGACCGGTTATGTATTCACTCTTGGGAGTTCTGTAGTGAGCTGGAAGGCAACTCTGCAGTCGGCGGTGACATTGTCTACTACTGAGGCAGAGTATATGGCGTTGACAGAAGCTGCTAAGGAGGGAATATGGTTGAAGGGACTGGTTGGTGATCTGGGTCTACATCATGATCAGGCAGTGGTGTATTGCGACAGTTTGAGTGCAATATGCTTGGCCAAGGATCAAGTCCACCATGAGAGGACTAAGCACATCGATGTGAGGTATCATTCCTTGAGGACAGAGAAGAGGATTAAGGTGAAGAAGGTTGGCACCGCGGATAATCCTGCTGATATGTTCACGAAGCCGGTTCCACATGGCAAGTTCCAACACTGCTTGGACTTGCTGAATGTCTTGAGTGGGTGACTCCGCCCTACGGGGCATTGATGGCGGGAGAGAGAGAGAGAGAAGGAGCAGAGTACATCACAGATTTCAGAGGAAGAGGATTCAAGTCAAGGTGGAGATTTGTTGATGTGACTTGAATCGGACTATCAGCCGCTACGACTGGTAATCGGGGGGTTCGGGTTCTGGGCCTGGTATGTAACCGTTTCCTTTGCTAGATTGGATTAGGTTTAGACCCACATGGAGAAGTACTATAAATACTTCTCATACTCCTCTGTAATCTGTAATCTTCTCGATATAGTGAAATTGGCTCTCTCGCCCGTGGACGTAGCTAACACACATCGTGTTAGTGAACCACGTAAATCGTGTGTCATGTTTTCAATTCTCGCTTTCGTATTCTTGCTTTGTCGATTCCAGCGATTTCCCGATCCGTAACAACGCGTTTATAACAAAAATCAACTATTTATAAAAACTAATGATCGACAACTCTTGTTTTCAAAAATAAAGCACATCCAACGACAATTGGAGTATGATCTGAAATAGGACTATCGTTTCGGTATTGTTTCCCAAGAGAGTTTATTATTTATTGGTCTTATTTCCCGCATCAGTTTCCCGCTCAATGAGCTAAATGGGACAGTGGGATTGTCGAATCCTATGGAACAAATGACTTAATATATCAGAGCGATCAGGCATCCTTCAACCTAAATATCCAGTTTCAAGAAAAGCAAAAGGATGAACCACAGACAGGGACTAGCAAAATGATGTGCGCACTGGTAACCAAAACACCGTAAACCAGCAATATCTCAACATAACAGATGACAAAACAACCAAGGACAACAATGTATATGATGGTGACAATCCCCCGAAAAAAGGAACCACCACCATGTCGTTCCCGTCCAACAAAACCAAAATTCCTAACATCCAACAAACAAAACTGCTAGATAACTGATAAAGCATAGCTCAAACAAACCACCCCAAATTTACTGGGATACACCAAGCCATTTGGAGAATATCTCGAACTCGGTGTAATCGCTCTCCGACACCATAGTTTGGTACCATGCTTTCCCAGCAGCCTTGATGGCAGATGCCTCCTCCTGCAGAAAAGTCAACCCCCACAAGTTTACAAAACAAACAACGGATTAGCAAACCATTGTTCAGAGACACGGAAACTTAACAATATCGAAATGAACGCACACCAAAAATAGTTAATTGCAACAAGTGCACTTTCGAGAAGATCAAGCAGTACTGTAAGATACCGTAAGTTCCAGTAACTCATTTACCTAATAATCAGGAAGTTTATACAGAAATATCAAAACAGAAACCACTTCAAGAGGTTGCTGAACATTGGGGGACCAATCCATAGAGATTAAATGCAAAGAACTAGCTTTGGCATCACCAGCAATCCAACCAATAACGAAGATGATTGGACAATAGCATTATACTGGTTCAAGAAATTCATCAATTCCAACCTTACTAAGACACTATTCCAGGTTCAACTAAAACACCTGGCACAAACTGAACAGAGAGTTTCAAACATCACAAACATATCCAATACCGAAGGCAACAGGCTAAACAAAGTAATTACAGGTACATGGAAATATATTAGACTATAATCTGCTAGTCTAATTACCATGTTCCGATTAACATTCAACATGTAACAATTAACACCACACCAACCCGATAGAGCAATGAGTCATTAAAAGCTCTACAACAAACACCTTCATCCTATTTGATTAAGTCACCAATGTAGAAAAAAGCCATTGCAGGCAATCAAGCCCTTAGGGCATACAATTATGTAATAGAGTAAGAGAAAATTATCATATACCTTGCTGATGGGAGTTCTCTTCTTGTCGAGCTTCTCCTTCTTGGCCTTCACACGCTGAGCCTCAGCCAACAAGGACATCCTCCTAGCGGTCTTGGCATACGGGTTCAACTTAAGCATCACATTCAAGTTCTTCAGAGGATTCTTCTTCAATGGAGCTCTCTTCACTTCCTTCTTGATGGGCTTCACCACAGACTGAACCTCGTCAGAGTTGATAATCCTAGCCAAATCAGCATTCGCCATCTTAGCCCTAGGGAGCACATACCCGTTCTTCTTCTCAGCAGCCTTGTCAAAGGAGCCGTAGATGGAGTCCAGCTTCTCAAAAGCCGACCTGGTCCAGATCACAAATCGACCCAAGTGGCCACCAGGGGCTAGCTTAAGAAGATTCAAACGGTCGACATTGGCCACCTCCACCCCAGGAATGTTGCGGAAGGCCTTCACCAGCTTAGCGCCTTCAGTTCCGTACACAACCAAAGGTCCCTTGCGAGAAATATACCTCCTGTTCCTCATCTTCCCTTTCCCGGGACGAATCCCGACGCTGTCCTTGGCCTTCTCGGCATCAGCATAAGCTCCGATCTCCTTGAGCAGCTTGATAGCGGTGGATGTCTTCTCGACACCCTCTGCGGAGTCGTTGATCACCAGAGGCAACTCTGGAACGGTGTCGATCCGGTGGCCGCGAGCCATCACCAGCGAAGGAATGGCCGAGGCGGCGATTGCAGAAACGACGGCGTACCTCTTCTGGTTGACGTTGATCCTCCGGTGCCAGCGGCGCCAGATCTTGGTCGGAGCGAACATGCGACCTCCTCGGCACATGTTCCCGAAGGCACCCTGACCGGCACGGTGAGTTCCTCCACCGGGAACACGGGGAATACGGGAGACGGCGCGACCGGTACCCCAGGACTCGGCGGAGGTCTGGTGGCCGGCCTTCTTGGACACGGCGTAGGGTTGGCGGCTGTTCTTCGACATGTTGGAGTGAACAAAGTTGACGACGTCGGGTCTGATAGAGGCCCTCATAACGTCGGGCAGGGGAACGGTGGCCGGGGAATCGGTGGCCATATCGTTCATGGTGGGAAGGGTTTGGACGGAGACAAGGGGACGAGCGGCGGCTGCCATTTCTTTTGGTTTGGGGGAACGGCTGCCGAAATGCTAATTAGGGTTTGGGGCCAAGGGTTGAGAGGAAGCGTAGGAATTTATAGTGGGGAGTTTTTCTGGATCCCTTTCTCTCGTCTAGGCTAGGGTCCATAATTCGTTTCGTTAAAAGCGGCCAGCATAGGATGGATATAGACCCGTAAACTTCTGTTCATTTACGCTAGGCCCAAATGGAACTTCCATCGTAAGATGGGCTTTAACTTTTCGCTTTATAGGCTTCCAAACCCTGTTAATTAGGGATGGCAACAAAACCCGAATCCACGGGTATCCACCCGACCCAACCCGGTCAACCCTGGTAAAATCTGTGTTGATGGGTTTTGGGCCGGGTTTGGGTTTAAACCTGCTTACTATTCACCGGATTGGGTTGGGTTTGGATTTAGGTAAACCCGATCCATGAGTACCCGCCCACACTCATATAATTTATTTTCTCGGTATATTTAATATTCTAAACTACTAATCTTATTTATGTTTGTGGAGACATGTCTAATTTTTTTCTTTCTAATTGTGTAGAATGAAGTTGATGTTATCGAGTGGAGAGTGAAGAAACTTAATTGAAAAGAAGAAGCATTCAATTAATCATGTTATTTATGGATAATTTGTGATTTGCTTCAATTTTCTTGAGTTTTCTAGATTGGTGTTGAATAATTTGTATAGTTAATTTGTGATTTGCTTGAATTTTCTAGAATGGTGTTTTATATATGGATAATTTGTATTGAGAGATTGATATTTGACTTTAATTTTGATAGGAACTTGTTATTGTAAATTTTTTACGACACGAACCCGTGGGTACCCATGAAACCGTGGATACCCAGCGGATTGGGTTGGGTTAGAGTTTTTCACGAATAAACCCATGGGTTTGGGTTTGGCAAAACCCGACCCAACCCGACCCATTGTCATCCCTACTGTTAATGGCTTAATGCAGCGGGTAACCTAGTTCTCGTCTTAAATCCTCAGGTTATATATATATTTAATTATTATTAGCCAAACCTATCCCGCATTTTTAAATATTAGTTAAATTTTTCAAGATATAAAATATTAGTCAAATCTTTTGTTGCGCACTAAAATATTAGTCATTTTTTTTGTTACTGTTAATAATTTAATAACTCTTTTCTTAGTTAAAATACTAAAGTTTTGAAATGTTGTTCTCCATGTGTCTCTTCCAAGACAGTGTCATGTTGTCAAGTTAATATTACTAACAAATATGCTAATTGGGAGTTAACATTTGGCTAATATTGTGTATTTTAAAAGGTTTGGCTAATATTAAAAAATACGGGAAATGTTTGGCTACCAATTAGTATTTACCCCTTCCCTGTAATATATTAGGAGTGTGCTGAGTCGTGCTATGCTATAGCTTTGAATATTAGATGGGTTGTAGGCTCAACCATGGACCACTTTTCTATTCAGAATGACAATAGTGATATTAATTTCAAACAGAAGCTCATCTGTATTCCTCCAACCCTCACCTCCATATTTAATTTTTCGCAAAGACAGAAGTTTACTCATCATCACTTTTATGTCGTAGAATGTTCCCAATACTGCCCCCATCATAGACCCGAATATTAATTCGACTTTTTGTCGTCAATTATGATTCATTCCTAACTACACAAATAAAATCCCAACTAGAGCCCAAGTATAAACTCTAGTAAGTGTAGTATAGACAAGTGTTTTAAAATGTCAACCTGGGCTGGTCCATATATTCATATACTTCAACCGTTTAAAATGTTATCTAGCTATCTGTTTAGAGTGAAAACTAAGAAACAATTTAAAGTAAGCAAGAAATTAAATTGTGGTGGATTCTATATGAGAAAATGTCACCCGAGTATTGCTCCCCCTAGCCTTATATTAAGTTGCAATAATCGAAACTCTAGTGCGGGATAGTGTGTTCTTATACCGCGAAGATGGTGCAAATAGTGGAAAATTCCCACTCTCCTAGGCAATCGATTAAGGAAAAGCAATTAAGCTAGGAAACCTAGCTCTCTCAATCAATCAGCTAAGGATTGCTAACCAATCCCTCGGAAGTTAATCCGAAACGCCGACAATAAAACACAATCCAATCGTGACGCTAAATCGATGCTTGAGGTGTGTCCCTAATTGCTCTAGAAATGGTTATCCAATTTTCCAAGAAGTGGGCAAGGAGGAGGTTTCCTCCTTCTAGGTCAATTTGACCCAAATGAGATATGGAACCTAACACTCACAAATCATGAAAATACCTCAAGCATTATATTAAAACACACAATCAACACACATAGAGTTCAAATCCAACAATCCATCACATTTCTAGGCTAGGGTTCACAATACTCAAGTGAAAAAAAGAACTACTCCATAGATAAACTAGGGATTACAACAAAGAGGAGCGAAAGAACCATGATGTGGTATTTGACTTCCTTCCTTGTTGCCGAAATCACCGTTGGGAGATGAAAACCTTCAATCCTCTAGCTAGGATCAAACCCTAACCCCCTTCTTCTCTCTTTGTTTGCCTGTTTCTCTCTCTAAAATCAGAAGAGAAGATGATGGCAATCTCTCACTAGGATCCTCCTTTCAAGTTTCAGCTTCCTTCTCCTTTTGTACTCCATTCGTGCGCTCATCATTGTCGATTATCATGGGCGTGATCTCGAAGCCTCGCCCGTGATCTGGGGCAAAAGCGCACCATTTCATTTAAGGCCTTCGCGGACTAGATGGCATTATCACGGTCTCGCGACCGTGAATACTTTTAGGCTCGCGAGGTGTACAAAACTTTCTGGATGTCGATGCTCTTCACGGTCGGTTGATTGTGACAAAGTTGCTCTAACAATGATCTTCACCTTTTTCCCTTTTCGATCCGCTTTCGTCCTTTTTCGTTCAACTATTGCTTCCAAGGCCAATCTCACATGATAGAACCTGAAACATGTTGGAAACATACATAACCTAGCGTAAAATCGAACCTTAAACGATGTAAATGCTCCCAAACACCACAAGAATACGGGGTGAAAACATGTGCAATTGGACCCCAATCAGGCTAGTTGTGCCTCAATATGTCACCTACTACCACAACTCTGCAATAACTACCTTGCATGTCCCTTTCTCATTCAGATCCTTACCCTCCTAATTCTTTCCTTCTTCTCCTTCCTTTCTTGTTTTCATTCTCCGATTGAAACCAACCCCCTCTTCTTCTTCTTCTTCGATAAAAACTCCTAACTACAATTCTTTGTTCTTGCCCTCATCATACGAAAAGACGATTGAACAATTCTGAGAATGTATCATAGAAGAATCAATCTGGTAAGGATGATATGCTGGAGGGTTCCGGACATGCAACGACTGCATTTGGAGGAGGCGTGTTGGGAAAGAAGAATAAGACAAAGATAAAAGACTTCCTGGTCCAATTTTTGAATCCCTAGAATTGGAAGCTTTGGGTTTGCTTTCTTACTTCTTCTCCACAACCAGGTACATAATTTTGGTTGATGCTTCATGACGATAGGGGGAATCGTTTGGTATATTTCTATATACTGAGGTTTTATTCCCTTATGTGAGCTCAATGTGCAGTCAATACGTGTATATTTGGTTGGAGTTATATGCAATTGTGTAGGGGGTGGACAACAGGACGAGACGGGATACCTGGCCCGTTTGAAACGGGTACCCAATCCCGTTTGGAGATCAAAGTCCATCCCATGTCCCAACCCGTTTGGATAAACGGGTACCCATTACCCGAACGAGATGGATAACGGGTATCCATATTACTCATAAATACCCAAAGTTTGAATCAAAATTTTTTTAACAAAAGTTTAAACTTAATTTGTACGTGCTTAACAATCACAAAATCCATCCCAAATTCCCAATCACAAATACTCGGTTTGCAAACTACACATTCATGAACAATCACAACGCATAGAAATAAACATTCCAAGCACCCATAACAACTAAAAAGAGCTGTTGGTTGCTACTGTTCTGCTTAAAATAAAAAGCTCCATTCGACAATTCGAACTGGGGAGGCAAGCTGCTGTTGTTCTGCTGCCCACCCTGCTTTTGCAAGCTGCTGCCCACCATCGAGTTGCTGCTGTTCAAGCTGCTATCGCCTGCTGCAAATCAGCAGTTCCATTATCAACAAATTAAAGGGAGAAGCAGGGCACAAAAAATCACCAAGTGTTCTACATAATAACAACACAGTCAAGGGGAAAGCCGGGCATAAAAATCCAGCAAATGTCACCCAAAAATCAAAATACACACATTATGGAAAAACTGAAACAAATCAAAGTAGAGAGGAAGGAAGATGGGCATGGGCCTGTGTAATTTTTGAATGGGTAAAACGGGTACCCATATTACCCAAACGGGTATTTGCAGGTAACGCGTGGGTACCCATTGTGGAAATGTACAATCCCAAGTCCCGTCCGTTAATAATTTTACGGGTAATATGGGTACCCGTAACCCAAAAAAAACGGGAAGGGTACGGGTATACCCAAATACCCGTTTTCCGTTGCCCACCCCTACAATTGTGCTTTGGAGGTTTGATAAGTTAAATTGATCTTGATCTCCACTAATTAAATGATTTTGGTTTGAATTCATGTGAAGGAACTGAAAGTAAGCAAAAGAATTGAAGAAACAGGATGCATAAGAAAAAAGGAAAGCTGCAGTCGTGTGGAGAGAAACAGGGATGCAATCATCATCTAGTCAGCTTCCTGGCCATGTGAGGCAACCCAACGTAGGTTTGTATTTCTTTTCCTTATTTTTTCCCTTTTGTGTGTGTGTGTTAGAGTGAAGTATGTGAGTTTGAATGGTCATTGTGCCCATGGTTGGTGTGTTTTTTATCGATAAATGTGTTGTGTTTGAGTTTGGGGCACAATTGAATCGATGAAGTTTGAAAATTGGTGAAATTCCTTTTTTTGCACACATCACGATTTTGGTGTAATGTTCACGACCTCAAATTGTGAAGATTACAACCAAACCCGAAGGTAGATAGAGATTCTACCAAAGTTGCAGACATCAAGTTTTGCATGCAATGTTCACGGGCATAACCCGTGGTATTAAATGTACCATGATGGCAGCCCAAAACTCACCATTCTCAGCTGAGATCACGGTTTGCATGTTAGGATCACGGTCTGAGACCATGAAATTAGC